TACAGCCAGCTTGAAGGCCTGTGGTACAAATCTCTGATGAGATTCGATGATGCAATGGCGGCAGCAGCAGTGTTAATAGTTACACCAGTCAGCGGGTAAGAGTGCTGGAGGTGTGCAAGACGCTCAGTCAGTAAAATGAGCTTAACAAGCTTAAATGAAGATATAAAAATGGAAAGAAGAAAGCAAGAAGCACCATTCACGGGCTCCCAGACTGAACAGATTGTTAAGCGTCTGTATTTTAAATGGTATTACTCCATCAAAACCACCCTGGGACATAGAAAACGTCTATAATCCACAACTGTGTGTGGATTACAGCTGCTTTTAGTGTATGGTCTAAATATGTGAATCAAATATATATAATGCTGTGCAGTTGCTTATGGTAAAAAGAATTGTTACCCGACTCTGCAGATGCTCATTAAGGCAGCTGGAGTAGATGTCTACCAGTCAGAAGGCTGGTGGTTTGACTCCTCCATGTCTGAATATCCTGAACCCCAAGTTGCCCCTGATGCATCTATTGGAGTGTGAATGTTAGATTAGGTGCTTATGTAACAGAGGTGAAGGTAATTTTTGCACAAGTGTTACTAAAGGAGGGAAACCCTCCTCAAAAACGGACGGAGCAGTGGAGCAGCCAAGGGAATGCACTGAATTAAAGACTGTATAATTAAAATATAATTTATTATATTTAAACAGTTAAAAATGTAAAATGAATTAAAACAACCCTGGCCAGGGAACAACACAATAAACATTAATAAAACACAACATTAAAAACCCAGTGGCGTCCGCCACGGTATAAAAGTCACTCAAAATTAAAATTCCAGGCAAGCAGTGTGCAAGGGGGAAACCCGGCGGCGTCCTCGCCTTCCTGTCCGTGTTCTCCGCTCGGGCCGAGCTCTTAACTCTGCCCGCCGCTTCCTTGTAACACGCCAATCGGCACCGGCCCGTCTCGCCGCGGAAGGTAGAGCACTGTCTCACCGCCTATAGTTCCCCGCAAAAGCGTGATCTGGCCTCCAGGTACTCCAGCAGCCGGAGCGCTCTCTCCGATCCCTGCTCGCTGCCGTCGTCTCCTCGTTCACAGCCCACGCCAACCTTTACCAGCCCTCTGGGCTTGCAGGCGCCACCGCCTGACACCATTCACTCCGCCACTGTTGCCTGTCTCTCAAGCCTCCCCTCAAGCCTCCTTCTCTGTGGTCTGCCAGGCCCTCTTATTGACCTCTGGGACCTCCCAGGTGTGATCAGGTTCATAATCAGGTAGGGGCGGAGTCTTTCCAGGACAAGTCACCAATAAATACCATAAAAACATGCAATAAAACTCATAAAAATAAACCAGTGTACAATATTAAAACATTAAAAAGGTAAAACACAGCAAAACATGCATAGTAAAAAACCCTAGATAACTTGTCCCTTTTCCACCCCGTGACACAAAAAGCACCTGTATGAATATGTGTTTGGGTAAAAATCTAGTAAAAAGTGCTGTGAGTGCTCAGTTAATGTAGAAAAGAAATATACAAGGCCAGCTATTTATTCTGCCTTAGCCTGCCAACAGCGGTATGCTCTGCAAGCCATTTTGCAACCCACCCCTAACCGAGCTCCATGTTAATGCTTTATCTGACTCACTCAGGCAGTTTAAATAAATACAGATTAAATTAACAGTCTTCTTTGACTGTCGTGGTCTTGACTGACCTGTTTTCAGTTTCTGGTCAAACCAAGGTAGCCTTCATCAGTTAAAAACAACTAGATACAAAGTTACTGGCTATCTAAAGAAACAAGCATGGTTAAGATAAAGAACAGAGCTGAAGGAGAGTGAGTGTGTGGCGAAAAATCTGTTATTTGTAGGTTTAAACAAAGGCTTGAACATTTTTTGGATGACGTCACATGTTCAGTCTGGCCAATTATAATCATATCACAGTCATATTTGTTCCTAATTTGTTGCCGTTACCAACTCTTAACATCTTGATATCCAAATAAACAACACACTACATTCCTGTTTTTCCCCACATTGTCTCCACATGTAGTTGAAATTTACGCCGACTCCCCTCCCTCTGCTTTTTTCTTCTTCTTGTTACCCTCCTTAATCTGTTTCTCTGTCTTTGTCAGGTTGTGGGTGCTGATGCTGTAACCACTGTTTGGAGCTGACAAGCCCTGGTTGATGCAGTGAAGTGTTCCAGTGGGATAAACACAAGCAAAGGTAGGAATGCAAGCAGATAACTCGGAGAAAGAAAAACAGAAGCATACAAAACACCATTCGGGGAAAGAGGAGAGGCAGATTTTCTGAATAAAGATTGGTGAAGATGGGAGCTGAACGAGTGCAGTCGCTGCATCCGTTGCATACAGTACAGCTGCTAAAGGGTTTGATTCACAGACCACTGAATACTCAGTTAGTGACAGAAAGATTGTGGTTAGAGACAGAGAGGGAGAAAGACAGAATAGAAAGGGAATGCGGATGGTATTATTGGTGAGTTAATAGAGGTTAGGCTTGGCAGTGCCATTCCTGTGCTCACTAAATCCACACTGATGAAGCTCCTGGGCTGTAACAGGAGGAATCTTTCAGTGAGAGCTGAAAGGAGGCTGGGAGGCTTAGCGCTGACGCTTGGCTTCCAGTCTGGACCAGATTTGCTTTTCAGGCCCATGTGGGAGCCGGGCTGCGTCTTTATTAAGGCTCGAGGAGCCCCTCGCTTTGGTGTCTCTTGCCGGACTACAGATGAGAGCTGTGTGTGCTGTGCGGTTGCATAAGAGAGGCACTTTCATCCACTCAAACGCCGGCAGACTGCAAACACTGTGCGTGTGAGAGGAGCTGCAACCGGTGGCCACCAAAGACACACTTCCTAATTCCACAGAGTGCTGCGTCTCAGCGCCCAGAGAGTCCATCTGTGATGCATCCAGTGGCTTCGTGGAAAGTTTTAATAGCAAACGTGTGTTTGCGCTACCCTATCACCATTTCCATTCTGCCACTTGGATTTGTTTGCGCCCGAGGGCCACCAGTGAGGCCGAATGGCACCTTGACAGAGATGTGCTGCGACAAGACAAGGCCAAAGAAGCTGGGAGAGTGCTGCTGAGTGGTGAAATAGGGAAGTGAAGCAGAAAGGAGAGCTGAAGGGGATATTTTTGAGGAACCCATTCTGACGTCAGAAACAAAAAAAGAGAGAAGAGACTTTTCTCTATTTGAGTAGAAATGATATAAATGCACACACAAAAAAAGAGAGAGAGAGACATCTTATGTTCTGTAGACTCACAAGCTTACAACAGCAAAAACAAAACAAAAAAAAAGCCCATAGAGCAAATAGAAAAGGAAAAAAACCCACAGGCCTTTAAATAGATGTCTAAAAAAAAGAGAAGTGTGAAGTGGACAGACTGAGGGAGAAAGAGCGAGAGCAGAAGTTTACATCAGTCTCTAAGAAAAGGCGAGAGTGGAAACTGGTGGAAACCATCGTGGGACTCCCGTTGTCACTCTGGGATTTACTGGCAGGAGGCGAGGACGTGCGAGAAGAAGCTGAGGACCAAAGACAAACGAAAAGGCCACACACTCATAGGAAAGCAGGGTAAGAGGAGAGAGGCTGGCTTTAAAGCTTAATGAATCGCGTTTACCATCCGTGCCACAAAATAAAGACCAATCTCATGAGTAGTAACAAGTGAAGCATCGGATCGCTGTTGTGAGCGATTGACCCGGTGTGCGAGTGAGCTGGATGCTGTTTTTTTTTCTTTCCTTTTTTCTCCTTCATCTTCAGCTGAGAAGATATTACCAGGCCAACAGTATCCTGGCAACCATCAGCCCAGCTCTGCTCTCGGCACGGACCACATGCTGCTCCAGACTCAGTGTGTGTTAATGTGTGCGTGTGTGGCTGTTGTGAGGCTGACACGCACCAACACTTCAGAGAAATCTTTCTTTGCTTTATGCGAGGTTGTGACGTGGATCTCAGCTTGACTTCGCCTTTGTAGTCACCTTGTCAGGCCGAAGATGAGGATCGGTTATTCATATATTCACTGTGTCGGCTCGGTTTGCATCTCTCGGAGCAGGTGGTGGAAAAGTCAGGTCGGAGACGAGGTGCGTTTTGGGCCAACGCTCACAGGTTACAGCCGTGACTCAGCACACAGCCGTGTTTAAGCAATTTACCTGCAGATGGAGCAGACACAGAGTACGGCAGGTAACTGCAGTCCTCGTGTGAAACTGTCTCAGCGACCGGACAGTGTAACCCCATCCCTTCCTCTGTGCTGCAGTGCAACACCCGTTCTTGCTGAGTAACAGGGAAAAGACTGTTGATACATTTAATTTATTTTCTGCAAGATGGCATCTAGAGAACATGCAAATGCCGGCTGTAGCTTATTCTTGAAGCCGGAAACTGATAGACCTCAGCTGTGAGCTAACACAGCACGTGCACAAACACAAAGGGCACGGCAGAGGAAGTGAAACTTGGCAGCCGCTTACCTTCTGCTACCAAAGCGAGCAAGAAGCAGGAAGACGATTAAAGGCGACCTGTTATGCTCATTTCCAGCTCCGTGCTTTTACTGTAAGAGCAGATGCATGAGTTAAAAATAATCGTTATTTAACTTATATTGGTTATGAGGACAGATGTCTTGTGATTGGATGCCCCTCCCAGTTAAGGTTTGAACTGGGAGGGGCATCCAATGCTGACATATAAAGGATATCTACTCTCACTCTCAAAGTACTCTCTCGTGCGTTTGGCTAAGTCATGTTTCTTATCAACATTTATGATTTTTAAACTACTCAAAAAATTAAAGGAACACTTTCATTGAAGTGTTGGAATTAAACTTGTGGGATATTGATCTGCTCGGTTTAGTAGCAGAGGGGTTTTAATCAGTTTCAGCTGCTTTGGTGTTGATGAATTTAACAACAGGTGCACTCGAGGGGCAATCATGAGACAACCCCCAAAACCATTCCTGTTTTGGGGGTTGTTCATAGCTACTTGTAGCATGAGGCATGGTTGGCATCAACATAATACTCCAACTCCTCCAGGATGGCACATCAATACGTGCCATTGCCAAAAGGTTTGTGGTTCCTCCCAGCACAGTCTCAATCAGACCTGATCTGACCAAACAATCATGAGGGTGGCTCCTGAAGCCAGGTTTGCATTTGCCATAGAATACTAGGATTAGCAGGTCCATCACTGGCGCTCTGTGATTTTCACAGATGAGTGCAGGTTCACCCTGAGCACATGAAATAGACATGAAAGGAAGTGGAGAAGCTGTGGAGAACATAATGCTGCCTTTAACATCATTCAGCATGACCGATTAAGTGGTGGGTCAGTGATGGTCTGGGAAAGCATATCCATGGAGGAACACACAGACCTCTACAGGTTAGGTACTCCCATTAGGTATCAGGATGAAACCCTTACTTCCATTCCCAGACTTTATGCTGGTGCAATGGGTGGTGAATGACAATCTCCAACTTCATGTGGCAGGAGTATGGAGGCAGTTCTTGGAGAATGAAGGACCTGACACCACTGACTGCCCCCCTTGCTGTTATAGGCAAAATGGAGTAATCTGCTCTATAATTTACTTGGATAATTTACTTTGATTTTCAGGGTGTCTTTGAATTCAGCTCTCTGTAAGATGATCATTTTCATTTCCATCAAACAATGTGGGATGCTTTCATGCCTAACACACTACAGAGTCAACATCAGCATAGAAACATCTGATGTGTTTTTTAAGTGTTCACTTAATTTTCTTGAGCGGTGTATAAACAAAAATAAGGAGCTTCCTTAACGGCATAACAGGTCCCCTTTAAGGAAGATGACTTTTTTTTTGTGTGTTTTTTGCTCTAAACTTCCTGTTTAAGCAGTTTTAACATTTTAAAAATCTTCTTGTTCCACAGTATGAAATGTTTTGTGCACGTGTTACTGAAGCTGTGTGTGATTCAGTCAGAGGTAAATCATCAGCATCATTTCAGACACAGAAATAAAATTCAGCTGGCACATCTGATATTTTCATTGAGATGTGGACAACTTAATGCATATGTACTTACTAGTAGTTTGGAGCATAGACGCTCCTGTTAGTGTGATAAGTGGCAGAAAAAGAGCCTCACCAGTTGCCAAATTGATCTTAAATGGGCCAGACCAGTAAAGCCGTTAAACACCTTGAAATTATTATTTTTTAATTCTATGAAATCATTCTGAAAACCTCTGTATTTCATGGAGAAATAAGCTGAAAAGCCCGAGACTTTATAACGTACCTGTCTGACCACAAATTTTATCTCTTGAGCTTGGATCCTTGGGTTCACGCTCTGGCATCTGGCCCTGTGGTCTGAAGAAGTATCTATAGACTGCTGTATATAAAGAGCATTAGAGGGGAGCAGTCTGCACATGGCAGGCTTTTAGTGGGTTACTATAGTAATGTAAATGGATTAAAACCACCACTCAGCTCGAGCGACTCCCAATGAGTGAGCTAAATGATTCATGGCTGGATTTGGGCCGTGCTGTAATTGAATACAGCATATGCGTATCGGACACAAACTGCGATCGGTGTCATCTGTGACTGGACGTCCGGCTTCGCTCTGCACATATTGCTTAGACAGAAGGATGCAGAGGGGAAAATTAGACAAGTGCAGATGGGTAAGAAACTAAAGTGCGTCTGCTGCGTCCTCCATGTGCCGGTTGTGTATTTTGATGCAGGTTGCCAGATCCAGGGTACTGTATGCATTTTGTTGTTTCCTCCCGTCCAGGTCGCCAGCCATGGGGAACCTCATTAAGGTCCTTGGCAAGGATTTAGAGAACTGTCCACATTTTTTCCTGGACTTTGAAAGTAAGTGGGCGCCAGGGTTGCGTGCGTGTGTCCGTGTGGTTGAATTGTGAGTGTGTGGAGTGGAAGTGTGCGGCGGGGAGGGGGTGGGGCCAGCTGGTGGTGATTTGATGGAGTGTTGTTGAGGGTGTGGTTTGTCATTAACAGACACTCTTTAGTCCCACTCTCCACACGAGGAAACCTTTGTTTCATGAACTTGTCAGCCGTCCACAGAAATCAGATATGATAAGAAGCCAATAAACAGAAACAAACCAAACCAACAACCTCAGAGACTTGACCGTAAAATAGAGAACAGTGACCACAGGTAATTGAAAGCAGCACATGGGGTTTTTGTCTCATAGAAACTCACCTTTTAAAAATAAATCTGTTTCACTGCTCCAGTTTTGAGTCCCATACATGACGCGCAGCTTTCATAAAGCGGATGCAAACACTCCGAGCTGCACCAGTGCTACGCAACCAGCTGTACTTTGCATCAAATTATACCAAACTAGAAACAATCTGTTTTTATTACACAGTAAACAAACACAGTCATATCCTAATTACACTGCAGTTATGGGCTAATTAGAACCTGTGCATAATGTTTCTGGATCCAAAAGTATTAAACCTAATTACATCAGGTTTGGCCTTTATTACAATGGGATGAAACACAGAGCAAGACTTTATTCTTTCACTTCATTTTACCGCACGGTTCTCTTGTAATGTGTTTCATTCACACTCTGGATGGGTCCAGTGTTCAGACAACAGAATTATGATAGTTTGGCATTTAAAAAACTGTTGTTTCATTCTCAGTTTTCTTTGTATCAGTTTAGTTTTAGTTAGTTTCCAGAGTGGGCAGGGGGAACATTTGTTTTAACACTTTACAAAGGCCCTCGCAGTACTGCAGACATCACAGGCTCAACAAAGCCTCATCAGGCAAGCTGTTAGTGGTTTATCAATGAGTGTATTCCTGCTTTACAGTTTATTTGTATTTTAAAATAACAGATTTTTTTAATCACCTAGTTTTAGCTTTTAGTTTAGTTTTAGTTAACTATAATAACATTGCCTGACTAGTTTTAGGCCAGTGTTAGGCTGTTGGAGGTAATCCTATAACACCAAGGGCAGCATATTTTATACACGAATGTTTGAGATCAATAAATTGCACGTGGAGGCAGAATGCAGGAAAACTGATACGAGCTCACTAACTCAACAGGACTTGAACGCATCAAGATGCATGTGAAGCAGTTATAATGAGCAACAAATGGCCTTGTAATAAAGTAAAAACATGGTCAATAAAGGCCCAGTAAATGTCCTCTGAGTGCAGTGTTTTCAGTGTCAACCAGTACACAGAGTAGAACTGGATACTCTGGATCTGACAGTATATGGAGTTTCTAACTAGATCATAATTAAGGTATTGTGTCTAATCAGAACATATTATTCCTAGTGTTGGTCTAATTTGATAAAAGGAAGCACAGCTGATTAAGTGTTATTAATGCAACAAAAAATAAAGTGCGCCCCTGAAGTATTTTTTAAGTCGTTATCTTTATATTTCATGACTTTATTGCAACTTTTGATTTAAATTTTCTGCACCAGACTCGGGTAGTTTCTTGTATTTGAGTCTTAATGAGTTTCCTGTCTTCCAAAATAAATAAATTCAAACTGTTCTTGCGACAAACTGTCTTGAGTTTGAGGCTAGTAGTGCATTCCTGCGACCTTTGATCTTTAAGTTTGATTGCTTTTGGAGTCGGCGCCTCCTCGTGAAGGACTATTTTATCTCAGAGGAAACAGTGAGAGTGGGATTAAAGACGTTCTGCGTCCACGTTGTCACGCTCCACCCAGGACATACTCCCATCATGCCATTCCAACAACGTCCTCTCATCCACCTCGACACCCTCACCTCTCGCACAACGCACACCCACCTACACCTCACAGGCACGCACACGCGCGCACAACCCCTCCCAACACCCATCCCCTCATCACCCACAGACTTCTCCCCTCTCTCTGTTCCAGGGGGCTCATGGGAAACCTCCTGAAAGTGCTGGCTTGCGCCGAACTTGAGCATGGCCCAATAGTTTTCCTTGACTTTGAACGTGAGACCATCCGCTTCTTATTTTTTTGAGTTATCCCTTTCTCTCTGTTGCTTCCCCCCTCCTCCCTTTTATTTTTTGGTCATATCATCCATCTTAGCTGACCATTGTGTCATCTTTAGGTCCTTAGTTATATTTTATTTCCTCCTCAGCTCTCCCCCTCCTCACCCCTCCTCCTTTTCTTTATCTTTTTGATTTCTGCTCTGGGGACCGGCATTTGAAAGGCATCTGGCTTTTTTCTGAAGGGTCTTACTCACGCATGCTGCATCCTATTAGACGCAGACAGATGCACAATAGCAGGGTGGCACTGCAGCAAAAAGAAAATAAATTCATTAATGTTAAAAACTGACAACAATAACACTTTGCTCTCCAAAGCTACAAAGAGCTGAGGAGAAACAAACAGAGAATGCCAGTCCTGTGTGGGTTTCTGTTGCTCGGGGATGACGATGGCTAACAAAAAGTCTATCGTCATCCCTCCACCTCCTCATCTCCTCATCCCCTATTGTACGTCTAATCTATTTGTGAGTGTGAGTGTGCGTTAGGAGAGTGAGACTGATAAAGAGAAGCTGAAGTATGACTGCGAAGAAAGGCTAATGATTTCACCTCTGTCCCCTCTTTTCTAATTTACCCAGTCAGTGAAGTATGAACTTTGCAAAGCATCCATCCTAACAAATCTTTATTTTTACTTCATTACTCAGTGTTAAAATCTTTTTGTAGTTCATGTCAATTTATAATTTACTTTGTTAGCAGGCTCGGCATTTAACACGAAGTTCAGTAAGCGAGCTGACATGTTTAGAGGTTTTCTTGAATTGTTGGGTATCTTTGAGATTCAGATTTTTTTGTTTCTCTTTTGATGAGTTTAAAAAGCTGTGAAAAAACATCTCCAGTGAAGATCTTAACACTGATTATGAATTTTTAAGATGTAGATGTTTTGCACTGTATCCCCAACATGCTCTGCACCTCCTCAAACATCCCCTTCTCCCTTTTAACAGCTGCCTTCCTCCCCTCTCTTTCTTTACCCGCTGTTACAGTGGGAGTGGGAGAGCTCACTGCTGGCGAGAGACGTCAGCCGTCAAATAGGTTGAATTTCCCCTTCGTGTGTCGGGCCTGTGATTCACTTTACTTCAAAAGCGAGTTGGGATGAGTCAGACTCGGGAATGGCAGCTTTGGGAGCGTCCCTCCCCCTCCTCATCCACCCCCCTGTGCCATCTGTGAGCTCTCCTTCTCCACCTGGAGACACACACTCACCTCTGTCACACAGCTTCAAGTTTGGTTTCTCGTTAAACTATTTATAGCTCGGCGCTGATCGCACCTCCCTAACACCCTTTGAAGGATAAGATGCAATTCTGACCACTGACAAAAAGATTATCAGGATGGATGTCTGGACTGAGCTGCTGTTTGTGAAAATCATCAGTCAGCTTGAAGTCATCCTCAGACTGAATTATAGCAACCTCTGTGTCTTAAAACATCTGAGGGAAATGGTTTGAGAATCAGGAAAGATACTGCTCTCACCGTGAAGCTGTAATCAGCCAACCTCGGAGAGAGAAACAAACTTGCACACATTGTAAAAATCCCCCTGGGAGCACGACTAAATACAAAAATCAACAAGTGAAGCTTGAGGTTTATCAGAGTTGTGTAATACTGTGATAATTATGGCCAGATTTCCCATATCCATAATGAGACTTCTGTCACAAACAGTGTGTGCGAATCACTCACTGCACTGTGTATTATAGTTAGGGTCGTCCATTTTATTCAATTATCTAAATTTTGTGTCATTAAATTTATATCGACGACTCCCCGCAGTAATTCCATCCACTGCATGAGCTTTATATATGCAAAGTAATAAAATTAAGTAATTTAGCTCAATTCATTTTAATTTTTATGTTGCTAAATTACAACAACGAATGAACCATAAAAGTGAAGTCGAAACCTTAGACCCTATTCCTGGCTTTTTTCGTTATACTAGCGCATGCTAACACATTCTCTGCTCCGGGTTCATATCATTAACTGTATATTAAAAATGGACATCACAACTGTAATGCAACCAATTGTTTTCTGGAAAATAATTTTTTTAACGCCTCTAATTTGGCATTTTGACTGTCAACCTTCTCTGCTGATCAGCTAATACTGACTGCTAGCTAGCTAGCTTAGCTAATGAGGTGCATCTGTTATTTACTTAGCCGTACTTGGGATGCTAATTTGGCTAATTTGGCTAGCAAAAGACAGGGTTAAAACAAAATAAAGAAAACTACACAGCAACGCCTTTTAGTAGAACCAAAAGTGTGGGCTGGATATGAATGAGAAAACTATATGATCACAATGTAGCCTTGCCTGAAGTATACTATGCTGTATTGTTTGAACTACAGCTTACAAAATGAAATCATTCTGTATTAAGGAAGTCTTTAAATTTGCAACTCAGACCATAAATAGTTCTTTAGCTAATAAATCAAATTAGCAGCAGGATAATTGTCTGTAAAGATCTATAATTGATTAATTTTTTCCAACCAAAGGCGTCCCCCCTGCTGGCCAGTATAAAGAATGCAGGTTTAAGGCAGTTCAAGACTGATACCTGAATATGTCCATCTTTTATATAGAACTAATTTAGCTTACAAATATGAGGGCGTTATCAATCACAAGATCTTGGCATAATAACTGTATTTAATACAAAGCAATTATGCTATACTTAATTAATACCAAGTAAACATAATGTGTTGTTTACCAGAATAATGAAGGAGGGCATTAGAGAGAATTCACTAATGTTGCACTGCTTGCTGTGCTTATAATGGCAGCTGGTGTGCACGCAGGACAGCAAATATACCTTGATTACTATTTCTCCGCAGGGAAGCAGCGCCTCGGGGTGCAAAAATAATCAGCAGAGCTACCACATGTAGCGAGCTGCCTGGGCACACTCCCACTCTTTATACCTGAGTCAGAGGCAAGAAAAACCAAACACATCGCTGACTCAAGAGGACCCCTCCTAATTGTGTCCCTGTAAGCACTTCATCTGTCCTGCGTGCATACATGAACGAAGCAAAAACTATGACTGGAAAAAAAACTGAGATAAAGACTGAGCATGCCCAGAGGTTTCCCTCTCTGCTGCTTATTTTTTCTCACAATTAAACTTAACAGTCATTAAAAAAATCATTTCACAGACGTGTAAAGGGAAAAGGAGAGTGAGAAAAATCTATAAGACTATTACATCAGTCTGATTCTGCTGTTACACCTACCCAGGCTTTGGTACATTTATGCTGAATGGGCAGTGGACATGAATGGTTGCTTTTACAGCGACTGCAGCCCATCAAAATGCAAAACTCTGTTCCCTGACACGAAGCCGACTTGTTATATGAGTAACCACAAACCTCGCTGTGTGACAGAGCGCTCTATGAGTGTCCTGTTATTGTTCTACCTGTAGGTTGTTTATTGGCCAGATTTTAACCTTAGATATTTACACATGCAATGATTACTCGTTGTCTTTCTAATTCTTTGCTAATCTCAGGTTTCTATCTGGCCTTCTAGGACATCATCATCTAAGCTCCTCACTAATACTCGCTCTCCCTTTCCTCCCTCCTCTCTGTATCCCATCACCTCTGCTCTTGATATTTTCATCCCGTCATGACACTTTCACTTCCCACTCCTCGTCCTTCTTCCCTCCCTGCCCTCACAGATGCCCAGCCCACAGAGGCAGAGACGGCCGTGTGGAACCAGGTCAGCGCCGTGCTGGAGGAGGCTCACGGGATCTTGGCCGAGCTGCAGTCCTACAACGGAGCGGGCCAGGAGATACGAGAAGTGAGCATGAATCAGTCGAGCCCCCACTGCAGCATGGGGAAACTAGCGCTCATGTGTGATGCCAGGGTTGGAATTCTGCCGTGCAGCAGGCACCGAATCTAAATCCAAGCAGAAACACCAGAAACATTTCATGCAATATGTCGTTTCCATAAATATAATCAGCTACAAAGCTGGTACACTGGTCCTGATGATCACATGGCACACAATTAACTGTCTTCAGAAACATTAATGAGAACCACTGCTGATAGCTTAGCTGTCAGGATAACTACATTTATAAGTGCTGAATCATTTCCTTTCCTTGCATCCTAACTCTGAGGACACAGATACTGTATGCCGGGGGCTAAAGAGAAGATAATGTATTATTAATTCCACAGCAGAGAGAAACTGAGGAGAGTATTATTACCAAACCTGAGTAAAGATAACTAGAAATATATCTTTAGTGATAACATGCAACCAACAGATATCCTGCTCTGCATTTTTTTTACACTGAGGCATTTGTGAAATATTAATCTTGACTAAATATGTGTCAGTTTGCACACTTTTCCAGGACAGAAATGGGAACATTTAGATGATCCGGGTTCAAAAAGTCTTCTTTCATATTGTTGGCAAATTGGAGTAAAAGGTTTTTTTTTGCAGGAGGGATTTTGGAAATCTGTGTTTATCACTCCATGACAGCCATTAAAAAGTCAATTTTCACTGTGTTTTAGCAATGAAAGGGGCCATAAATCAGGCTTTGAAGGGCTATATGAACAGCTGATTGTGTAAAAACCATCAGGATAGAGACAGAACAGTAAAGCTGTTCGAGTGGAGCTTTTTGGCTCAGAGAATTAGAAAAACTCATAGTTCTTTCTTTTTTTTTAAAAATTGGGGATATCTGCTGGCAAAAGAAAGTGCCGTCACAACAGGATTATATGTCTTATATATTCAATAGAATAATTTACAGGAAAACAAATAATGACAGTCATAAGGGCTTATTATGGAGCTGATATGTATTGATTTGCTGCTGAAAATAGCTCTGAGCAAATGCACCAATTTCCTCTTGTTTAAACAGCTTTAAGCACTGAGTTAGCCTCTGCAAAATGTTTTTGTGCCCTATTTAAAGATTTACACCAAAAGTAGGTGCAAAACGAATATATATATCCACACAATGCTGACTTTGACAAATTTGATTACATGTAAATTTTACCTCTAATTTTTTTTTATAGGAGTACAACATAGAAGGCACATTGGCTTTAATGAAACTCGAGGAATGACTAATTAAAAATGAATAATAATTTGAAGAAATAAATGCTTGATTTTATACATTTCAGTTACATTTTACCCAAAATAATTATTTAATGTTTATGAGGGCAAATAATTGTTGTTGTTTTCTTTCAGTGTAAAGACATTGAGAGTTGGGATTAACATGTTTTGATTTGATTTATTTATTGATTGTTATTTGTTGATGCAAAGAAATATAAACCATTTATACTTTTTCTTATCATATTGATCAGGTGAGATTATTTGAGGCCAATTTGAGTGTGTGATACTGTGTGTGAGATCACTGGTCAGAGGAAAGGACAGGGAACAAAAAAGATGGCAAGGTTTTTAAAAGTAACATCTGTCTGTTACTGGGCTGCAGGCCATCCAGAACCCGGGCGACCTCGCTCTTCAGGAGAAGGCCTGGAACGCAGTGTGCCCTCTGGTGGCCAAGCTGAAGCGGTTCTACGAGTTCTCCCTCCGACTGGGTGAGTGTGGCCGTTGCAGTCTATGAAAGAATTTCAGAGAGTGATGTAACCCCATCTCTGGTGGCCATGTTGGAGCTGAAAGCATCTGTAACATGAACCTAAAATCTAAAGAGACGGCATTTGCTGTCAGCTGCTCATTTATGAGCGAAGCAGGGTTGTCAGCTGGGTGGATGTGCTGCAGAGCCAGAAGAAGGCAGGAAAATGAGTGGAGATGAGGTGATGGGTGCACCCCTCAGATTAAAGTCTCTTTCCTTTGTTTATCTCAGTTTGAAACAGCTGTTTTGGTATTTAGCATCTGTGCTTCATTGCACAGGCTAGAGCTGATCGTACTACAGCACTAGCTATTATACTGCTTTTTCTTTTGTTGTTTTTTTTAAATTGGCATCTTTTCAGCAATTTCAGGATGTGATAAATCCTGTTAAGACTGACTGATGAATGCAGTCAAAAGTGTCCACGCCGCATATGTTACCTTAAACAGGAAGGAGGTCCGTTTAAAGTGATAAAAACGGGCCTTGGCATTGCTGAGAGCTCCATCAGCATTGTGCCTTTCCAGGCTTGACAGCATTCCTCAACAAACACACACACACACTCACATTCATACTCCATGATGTCCTCTCAGCCATCTCTGCAGCATCCTGACCCAGCAGCAGCCAGGCAGCCGTTGCTACGGAAACAGTGGTCCACAGTGGTCCAGCGCGGAGAGAAAGAGAGAGAGTAGCGAGAGGAGTATGAGCAGAGAAATAGAGTTCAGCTGCCGCCTCTGCGCTGCCTTCCAATAATACTTTCAGTCTCAGGGACATTGTGTTCTCAGATTACCATACAATGGGAGCTGGCCAATAATTGATGATAATGTCTGGCGGCTAATGTAGCTATGAGATTCAGTACAATAGAGATCACATACTTCCATCGTGCTGAAGAGAAAGGGTGGCAGTATGTCCCAGCACCACCTTTTGCTTTATAGTTATTTGATCAAAGGGGGACGTAAGGGGTGGAGAGGTCCAGTTTAACATTAACAGCTGCTGCATCTCTATAAGCTGTCAGAGGATGGAGATCGTGCACTCTGTGCTCTCGGCAGGAGCGAGACTGGGGTATCAGCCCAGGGCCTCAGATGAAACAATTCCATGTTGTATTTATAGAAGGCACTCGTGCATTTTTAATGCAGAGGAAGGGATGGAGCCCCAGGAGCTTTTGCTTCTGAGGCATCAACACCACTGTACGTACAGCCTCTGGAGTCCGGCTATGGAGTGTGATTTGTTGCAGACTTAGTTTAACATCATGGATGACACGGGTGGGATAACCATGGCCACTGCCTCTGCAGTCACAGCCACACTCAGGCTGTGTGAGCAGCTGTAGCTTGATCTGTGAACATGCAACATGCAGTCTTTGTTTTAGCAAGGAGCGCTCTGTTAAGCCTGTGGTCACTGAGGGCAAATAAAATCCTGCTGAGAGCCTTAATGAAAGTGAAACTAGCAAGACAATAGCAAGGAGAGCGTGCAAGTGGGTATTTTGGATTTCATGCTAAGCAGAAAAACATTCATCATGTTCACCATCACGACCGATGTCTGTTTACCAGTTCAGGGAGGTACTACTGCATTTGCTTCCAAAAAAATAAATACATAAAATGTTGGACTGATCTGCCTCTAATCATCTCACTCACGACCTACAAACTGAAACTGCTCCCTGAGAGCTCTGCCTCGAAGTGTAGCTAAATATGCAACATTAAAAATGCAACAGACATGCTGTTTCAAATCCCGTGGCTCCACTGACTGTATATAAAAGATGGAAATTGCCACTGTGACGAAACCTGTTGGTTTGTTCAATTCAATTTTGGAACTTTATGCAAAGAGTAAAAGTATGGAACATAAAACTTCTTGCATGTCCTCTTAGGTCACGAGACTGCAAATAGTATAGATCTGTCAAATTGTGTATAGCATATAGTGTTTGTGGGAGCTGCCAGCCACAAGTGGCCTGTCTGCCGAACCGCAGTCTTCAAACGTTCTTTCTGCTGTGATAAAGCCATTTTGGTGTTTATACCGTGATAAACTTGACCCCTTGTCCCAGGTGCCCACGCTGAGCTGTTGCATAAAGAAATAAATAAAGAAATTCTTTCCTTTGCTGTCAAAAACGATTTCAGTGTAGAGGCAGCAGTTCTTTACTAAATTTACACCTTTGTGCATCCTAACGGGACACACATCAGAGAAAGACTTTTAAGGCTCATGCAAAATGTAGAAGACACGCTGGTAATGATTTCCTTTTAGGAAAGCAGCTTTTCCGTTCGCATACTTTCACTTCCTCTCAAGCTTTATTTCTCAGACCAACTGTTTGGCTCCAATTCTAAATTTTTGGACACCTGAATAATACAATAATACAGAGAAAACATCCAACAATCAAACAACCCCCCTTTGAGCAAGCACTTGGCGAAAGTGGGAAGGAAAAACTCCCTTTTAACAGGAAGAAACCTCTAGAAAAACGAGGCTCAGGGAGGGGCGGCCATGTGGTGTGACTGGTTGGGGTTGAGGGGAGGTAGATAAGACAAAAGACACGTTGTGGAAGAGATTGATGACAACGATGATTAAATGTATGTATTTTAGAGAAAGAAAAAAGAAGAAACACTCAGATCCTGGCTAGATTAGAGAGGATTACATAAATCTGACCAAACTAAGATAAAACAGCCAGGTCCTAGCTGGACTGGATGAATTTCTGACTCTGATCCATTTGCAGAGAACGCCTTGCGCAGCCTGCTGGAGGCGCTGACGAGCCCGCCGTATGCTCCCATGCAGCACCTGGAGAGAGAGCAGGCCTTGGCCAAGCAGTTTGCCGAGATCCTCCATTTCACCCTCAGCTTCGATGAACTAAAGGTGAAGGAAATCTTTGTTGTTGTTGTTCTAATTACAGCCCTCAGACGCTGACCTTTACTGTACTGAAACATCAATACGGTCGTTGAGCAGCCTTTGTGAAACTAAATGCCACCTTCTCTCTCGCCGTGCAGATGACAAATCCAGCCATTCAGAATGACTTCAGCTACTACAGGAGGACCATAAGCAGGAACAGGCTGAACAACCAGCAGGTGAGGCAGGCCTGGCTCCGGCTGTTTGCACTGCATACATGATCAAATGGTTCAGCGCGGCTTCAGTTCCCCTCTTTAATCATTAATGAAGTGGGGGTGTCCGTTTCCTTCCAACGACGCAAAGACGTGTACAATCAATATTTCATCTAACTTTCGAGTTATATAAATTAACATCAGGGTTGCCTCCATCATTACGCTCTCCTTTCACCAGCTGTGTGACATGATTATCGGATCGTCTGAAAACAAACGTTTGTTTTAAGTGTGACATCTGTTTTGTTTCGGCGTGCAGCTGGAAGCGGAGAACGAGGTTAACAACGAGATGGCAAACAGGATGTCGCTGTTCTACGCCGAAGCAACACCAATGCTGAAGACTCTGAGTAACGCCACCACCAAGTTTGTCTCAGAGGTACACGTCATCCACTCACTGCTTACATGTGTTTATGGCTTAGTCCACATTTCCAAGAACAACATTCCAATCAATAATATTGAATAAAGTAGTGGTGACACAATTCATCCTCAACAATGAGTAAAAGACCAAAAGTATTCAATGCAGACAAGGTTTCTGGTAGTATTACCCCATTTTTTGGATAAAAGTAAAATGTAGCTCTTTGGAGGATAATTCTACCAGCTGTAATTCAGTGAGTGAATCTGATCAGCATCATCCCTTTAAATTTAACTCGATGTCTTTAGTGTAACCTAACACTGACCAGGAACACCACAGCTGCTCTGCACCAGTCAGCCATGTCAACACAGCACTGTAGACCAGGGGTAGGCAACTCCAGGCCTCGAGTGCCGGTGTCCTGCAGATTTTAGATGACTCCTTGATCCAACACAGCTGATTTAAATGGCTAAATTACTTCCTCGACATGTCTTGAAGTTCTCCAGAGGCCTGGTAATGAACTAATCATTTGATTCAGGTGTGTTGACCCAGGGTGATATCTAAAACCTGCAGTTGCCCACCCCTGCTGTAGACTAACCACTTTAGCAAGTTTCTTGAATTCTACTGTATTAATTTGCAGTGAAACTTTCATATATGACAGTAAGCAGGCCCCAGCTGATGGGGGATAGAGCTGCTCCAAGTGTGGGGCGACCAAGTAAAAAACACAAAATAAAATAATGATTTTTATTTAGAGAAATTAAAGAAACAAGAGTACTAGATGTCTCCTGCTAACCTGAGAGCAAATGAAAGGACTGGGTTGTTAACTGCTTTTGGGTTCTGAAGAGGGGTTAACCCAAGTTACAATGACCAGTATAAAAGGGAGTCCTGTTTCCCTCACTGTGGGGGTCTTAGTTGTAGACGTGGTCATTGTCAAGACATCTGGGTGTAACTAGAGTCAGTAGAGTAAAGTAGAGTCTGTCAGCACAGAAGTGAAGCTCAATAAAGCGAATAGAAGAACAGAGCCCTCTATATAGATTAGATCCGAATTACTGTGTGTCTCTATGTACAGTCTGTTTTTGCTGTGCTTGTAAGAAAAAAAACAAAACCATATACTTCCATGGTACACGCGAGTCTTCACCTCAGGCGGCCATGTTGAACTGCTGTGTGAAACATCCGCCTTCTCCTGTCAAAACACAGTTTTACGGGCGAGGCAGCAGCCTTTTGCTAACTTTACACCTCGATGTATCCTGATGGGCCGCACGCCACACGGAGAAAGACTTCAGAGGTTCGTGCGATATGTAGAGGGCGTGCTGGTGATGATCGCCTTCCAGCATAGCAGCTGCACGGTCCTCATGCTTTTTGCCCTGCTTTGTCGCCACCTTGTGGCAGAACATTTTGGCGCAGGCAGTGCAGTAAAGTGTAGAGGACTTTCTCACATTGTCCGCTCATCCAAATGGAAGCCATTTTTACATCTTCTTTCATTTCCCTTTTGTCTTTCATCAGAATAAGACCTTGCCCATAGAGGACACCACAGACTGCCTGAGCACCATGGCCTGCGTGTGTCGCGTCATGCTGGAGACTCCGTAAGTGCTTCTTGTCTCCCCATCTTCTTTCGCTCAGTCCATCTCCTTGAATGTCAGAATCCTAAATTCGAATTAACAGGCTCTTTCACTGTGCCGTATAATATGTCAGTAATTCAATAGATCGACGCTCAGAGTCCTTCATGCTAAATGTGAAATGTTTAATCTTTATTCTGTGTGTCTTTGTGTGAAGAAACTCTCATCTATAACTTGTTCACTGGTATTTGGTGGACACCCCCAACCCCCGCCGTGCCCTCTGTTAAACAGAGCAAATATTAACTCTTGTTTTTGTCCCAGGGAGTACCGCTGTCGGTTCACCAACACAGACACTATGCTGTTCTGCATGAGGGTGATGGTGGGCGTCATCATCCTGTATGACCACGTTCACCCCGTCGGGGCTTTCGCCAAGACCTCCAAAATTGATGTGAGTACAGCAAATACTTGCATACTTTGAAAATAATGGCCCTCTGTTGCATGTGTAAAGCAAAGGAGGTTAATCTAGTGTACCTGAGGGGTCCTGCTAAGCCAACAGTTTGGTTAGGCTGGTCATCAATCACAAAGCTTTAGTTGACCAGTTGCATTCATTTCAATCTCCATATTTTTATTACTGAGCTCCACCAGCGAAGATCTGCACGACTCAAAGCTCAGAATAATCTTTTTATGTCATAACAGCTCAGATTATCTGCTCTCTGGAGCACGTTTGTAAAGAAGTGTGATGAGTGTTGAGTAACAGACCTAGAAAAAAATGAAAATATTTAAATTTTGCATAAGATGGATGGAGTTGTTAATAGCTGGGTATTGTGAGCATGAATGTAATGTGGGCTTTGTTATGATTGATGCAAATCCATTAGCTTCAAATCCCCAAGTTTCATACCAAGATGAATGCCTCTCTTAAATGTTTTTGTCTTTTTCTATTCATTTATTACCAGGACAAACTGATAATAAGGAATTACAAATAGACGAGCACAGAACTGATACACGCTGTCCTTTATCAGTGACCCACATCTTCAGCTTCATTTAATTGACGTTGGTGGGCATTTGTTCATGCACAGCTCTCTTTAACTCCTGTTGCACTTTGATTGCAGCACATTTTCTTTTTCAGACCTTTTGTTGTAGAGTTGCTGCTGTGCTTGGGAACCAGCTGTTTTGACAGATGGCCTCACATTTGACTGTAGAGTACTTCAATATACAGAGGAGCTCATGGTTGACTTAATGACAGCAAGGTGTCATTAAGGGCTGCAAAACAAGCCCAAGTCATGACCCCTCCACCACTGTTCTTCACAGTTGGTTATGGGGTGTTTGTAGTGATATGCAACGTTTGGTTTTCTCCTTTCTGCGCATTACGTAGTGCTCTCCACCAAAGTAGAGATATCAAACATCTCCACTTTGGCCCTGTCTGTCCAAAGGGCATTGTTCCAGAAGTCTTGTGGTTTATTTGGATGCAACTTTGCAAACACAAGACATGCTGAGAGCGGAAGCTTTCTCATGGCAAACCTTCCAGTCAAGCCGTACATGTTTAATCTTTTTCTAACTGTACTGAATTTTAATGAATGCTAAAATTTAACATTCTAGCCGAGGCCTGTAGAGTCTGAGTTGTCAGTCTCAGTTTCATTTATTTGCTGCATTTCATTATAGTTCATCTGAGTGTGTTTACAGTAGATAAAAAAACCACCAAACCCTGTGTAGGTTTAAGATGAAAATAAAAGCTAACACACACACACTCGTAACTGCAAGCCTGCGAGAACTTAGTCTGTTTTTAAATGCATGCAAGGATTTGACTGACCTCACATCAGCAGGACAAGATGTTCTGGGGAGCTAAAAGGTTCATGAGAAGGAATTCAAAGGTAGTTCTGTAGTCAACTGGGAACCCGTGAAGTCACTTCAATAATGGGATAACATGTTCACATTTCTATGTACATGTTAGGAGTCCAGACAAGTTAAAGTTGTCCTACTGATGATTCGGATAATCCCGGTAGTCGAACCTGCTCGTGCTCGATATGAAAGCATGGATCAGTTTCCCAGAGTTGGTTTGAGAATTTTTAACTTGCGGGATATTAAGTTCCTGAATATGATACAAAAAGCTGTGATCACTGTCCGAAAACGATGCCATGGTTCATGGTTCCTGACCTGCTCACCGAGTTTCAGAGAAAAGGATGATGCATTTAAGACGTAGCTCTTGGGTTTCTGTGCAGTTTCTCTGGGCACAGGATGGTCTGGGGTGAATTTAGCTTTTATAGAGGTGTTCACACTTCCTGTTGATCAGTTAGTCAAGTGAATTTGATTGGCGGCGCCTGGCTGCTACTTGCCCTCGTAACTCCTAAGAAAGCAGTGAGGGTGTACTGAGACAGGAGGCTCTTGACAACATTTCATAAATGTGTGCACGTGAGTTTGGGTTTTTTGCAGCAGCAGTACCAGGACATGATGTGATGTGAGCCCGCTGACCTTTCTCTAATGCCCTGTGTTGTCTTTGTGGTGGGCAGATGAAGGGCTGCATCAAGGTGCTGAAAGAGCAACCGTCTAACAGTGTGGAGGGACTCCTGAACGCACTGAGGTGAGTATGAATGTAGAAGAGTAGAAAGGTACAAATCTCCTCCTCCTTCCTCGCTCTGAATAAATGTGAACGTGACATGAATGTGCTTCTGCTTCTTCAGATACACGACACGGCATCTACACGATGACAGCACCTCCAAACAAATCAGGGCCCTCCTGCAATGAAACAAAGAAGAAAAAGAAGCGACCAGGAGGGGAGGAGGAGGGGAAACGAAGGAGCGCACTTAAAGGAGGAGGAAACAAACGCTGATAAACCTGTTTGTTTACAACGAACAAAGAGAAAAATCATCTCCGGGGTTAAGTGCGACCTGATGACAATAAGAAGAGGAAAATAATTATATATATTGTCAGCTGTCCATCATTCTGTCTCTCATTTTGTAAAGTAAGAAAAGAAGAAAAAAAAAGAAGCCAGAAAAGAAGATATAGATATATATTAAGAAAAGTGAAACACTGAGCAGCAGGTGAAGAATAGGTAGGATTAAAGAGGAAGCTATATTGGAAGATTTAAGGTCAGAACCAAGTGAAAGTGTACGAAACAAAAAAGGAAGAAAAAAAAAAAAGAGGGTTAATGTTCCAGAAGTAGTCTGACGAGTATTTTTGCACACACTTTGAAAACATCTCCTTCCCCAATGAAATCTGATCCCAAACTGGTTCCCATTGCTTGAACTGGAGGGGCTCTCCTTCAGCTGCACTGGTCTCCACCGACGGGTGAATCATAAAGCAATGTGATGGATACACTCCGGAGATTTGCTTTTACCCGTTTCACTTTCTTTCTGGTGCAGCTGGAGGAAAGCAGGCAGGCGGAGACGGGACGCCTCTGTTTTTGCCCCGATTTCTTCCTCATCATCCATCTATCAAGTATATGCTTTTTTTCCTTTAAATTTCTCCTCATCACCAACAAAAATGTAAAAAATAAATAAATAAATAAAGAGCCGCCCGTGTCGTGTGCCCCGATGCCGTTTATGTTCCTGCACACAAAAACCATCTTGCCAGCTGTCTGGCTTTACTTGAACTACGTCCTTCACTCTCTCCATGGTGCTAATGTGGTTTATCGCAGCTTCTTATCTGATATCGTTTGGCTGTGATGTGGGACATACAGTGATTTTGTCATCCTCTTCTTTTGTGCACAAGTTAGCCACGATGGCGAGTGAGCCTTCAGCATCTCGGTGCGTAAAAGAAGGGGGTCAAATCTGAGAGGGCGTTTTTAGGGAAACCGCAGCACACTTTTAGTTCTTCACCCAGTGCCAAAGCTTATTCTGTTATTACATCGCACGTGAGTCAGGCTTGAGGGTTTGATGGTATTATTATATCACTCATCTTTCTTTTCTTTTTGTAAAAGAGGATTAAAAAGCCGAGACACACGTGAAAAACAAGTGGGAAGGTGGTCCGATTTACATACATTTTAAGGGCGATCTGAGTGTTCCGGTGTAAATACGTGAAGCTTTTCACAGCGGGCATCCACATGTTCCCCGTCGGGGAATATGAAAAAACCACCATCACAAACTCACACATAAAAACTCGAGTGCTTTCTTTTAGAGTGAGGTTTAAAAAGTCCATCAATAAGTGGGAAATAAAAATGAAACTACAAATGATCCAAAAGGAGATTCAAAAGAAGTGCTGTAATGTCTAGAGCCCTTAGTCTTATTTAATTTGATCTTATAATATATTTTCTATACAGGGGTATGTGCGCGAGCATATTCTGTATAAATACATAGATGGCATGTTGCAAAAGTTCTGACAGAAATGTGTAAATAAGGTGTTTTTATTCATTTTTAATCGTTCAGTGATGCTGAAATTGGGTATGTGTTGTCTCTCAGAATTACCATACGTTTGGCTTGGACCATCGGACTTGCCGTAGTCATAGGTTTCAGAAATTCAGCTTCATTAATGGCGAATGAACCGGAGGGAGGGGAGGGACGCCAAGTGGGGAGGGGGCCGGGGCTGTCCATTTGCTTGTTATTTTGTATATTTTGTGCAACAATAAACTTGTCATTTATTACATTCAACAACAGCCGTCCTGTGTCTGTTCAGTCATGTGTAGGAGTAATGGTGCTGGGGGTGTGATGTCAAAAACTGCAAGTGAAAATCACATTTTTCTATAACAGGGCTGTCAAACATAAGGCCCGCGGGCCAGAATCAGTCCGGCAAAAGCTCCAATCTGACCCATTAAACAGAAGATTGGAAAATGTAAAGAAGGATGTAAATTCGAAAATTTTTACTATGTTTTTAAGTTTTACGTATTTTCCACTTCCCCCTTGGCTAGTCGTACTGCATCACACCAAACTAAATAAGTAAAAGATAAACAATGAAATGACAGAAAGTTCCTGTTTTTTCACCACTATAGAAATGTAGGATTTTTATCACGAGCTTGCTGTAAAAACAAACAAAAGAATAAGAGGACATCATGTCAATTAACAAAACAAATGTTCAATTTATAATTTAGGTACATCCTGTATGATGAATTAACAGAACTTTTTCTGTCATTTTAAACATCTTTTTCTTACAATTTAATCCCAAAGCAGCATGTCTTTCGCATGTAGAAAAACTGAGATATGTTGCTGAAATTGCACTTCTTCTTTTTTTTATATTAAAAATGTGTAGTTAGACTTCTTCACACTGACAGGAAGAGAAGCTTCACTGCTCCAGCCCACTTAAGATCATAGCGGCCTGTACTCTGCACACAACGTAAAATAAACGTGACGTCCCCGCTCTAAGGTAAACTCTCAGTAACAGTTGTGTAGTCTGCGGCTTTAAATTACAGGAAATATTTGACTGGAAAGCAATTAAATGATTATATTCAAAGTCATTACAAATTTAGAATAAATCATAAAGTGTTAGTTACTTTTCAGTGTTTCCTTTGGTTTAACTCAGTCCAATGAAGACACCTAGTTACATGTGTGAGTGTTTAATGTAAAGAAACAGTTTCACAGTGTGTAATATTGCGTAGGTCACAGTGGTTTTGCAATAGTACCCACAGTGGGAGGGCAGGTGACTTTAATGGTGCAGGAATTGGTCTGTAACTGCAGGATGTAAACTCCAAATTTTGCACAAGAATGTAAATTTTTATTTTTTTTAACTAGAATTATTTTCCATCAATCCCCATGAATCTGTTAAAAAACTCTCAGAGTCAAGCTACTGCTCCTCCCAGTTGAAAGGAGTTGGGTGAGGCGTTTCAGGCATGTCCTACGCCGAGGAGGCCCTGCGCCAGACCCAGGACACGCTGGAGGTTACATCTCTTGGTTGGCTTGGAAAAGCCTCGATGTCTCCCTGGAAGAGCAGGAACTGGATGGACTGATAAAGAACACAATCCACTGCATAAAAAATATAAAAATGTTAAAATTGGATTTAAACATTTTAAATAAACCAATAAAAATTTTATTTTCATGACTAAAACAATCCACTGTTGCAGGCTGCAAGAATACAAATGGAAAAATCTAAAGTTTTAAACTTTAATGAACTTCAAATAAAAATAAAATATAATTTACTCGATATGCTGACCAAACCACGGTGCATCCTGAATTTGAAAAAAACAAAAAAACAAACAAGGCAAAGTAATGGAGGCTGAAATGTAACATTTAGACTCAATTCATACACTTAGCCCAACATAACTCAATGCCAAGCAAGAAGGTATCTGATGTAATGTTGCAAATGCAAAATCTTCAATCGGCACATGAATTTTTAGTTTTGCTTTAGCCACGGTCAGCTTGTCAGAAGGAGACACACCTGAGTCCTGAATTAATGATTTGTATTAAGTATTCATTAATGAACATTACTGTGTTGTAGCATATCAGTCTCCCCACCGAGAGCTACTGCAGGATGTATTCCAGTCACTCACCACAAGGGGGCAGCAAACGTCTTTATGAAAGACTACAAACCAACTCAAACTGCGCCTTCTCTGCTTGTTCCCATCAAAACGGCAGAAATGTAATTCACCTCAGCACAAGAGCCCTATCAACACTGACTTTGGCAGCGTGATGAACATCAAACAGTTCACGAGGTAATTCATGCGGTGCTCCAAATAAGCAGTGCTGTTGAGCAATTAAACTTCAGGTATGGTGCGGCACCTGTTATGATGAATAAGCTGCAGGAACATTCAGCTGAGAGGTCAGTCTGACTGAGCTGTGCTGTAAGGTGTGATTGTTGGAGGGTGTAAAGTAGGGCAGGAGATAGGAGAGCTTGTCAGAAGTTATATGGAAATGAGAGCAGCGGGCTGCAGACACTGAACCATGTTATGGGATCAAATTCAACAACAGCTTGAACAGAAAAGAAAGCGGCTGTAAGAAAATATTATAGGCTGTAAATATCAAAGTGGGCTTATCAGCTCATCCTACTGTTTTCTAGATCGCACCCTTTGAAGCCTCGGCGTGAGTCGACTGAGTTATAAGAAAAACTCCACAAAGACCAAAACCCACTTTGTGTACTGAACTGTAAACGTGATTATTTCATGGCTGAAGTTGAGCACTTTATCACAGGAGTCTGCAAAGATTTACTCAGTCGTGGAGCATACTTGCCAACCTTGAGACCTCAGAATTACAGAGACATTCAAAAGGGCTGTGGGGGAGGGGTTGTATACATATACATATACATATATATACACAAATATAAATAAGTTATAAATAAGTTAAATGTCGCAGTTATTATTGTCTGGCCGGAAACAGCGGGGGTGTCCACATTCAGAAGCTGTGTCCACCTGAGGACCTTGCCTTTAAGTGACTTATATATATCATGTTTAACCTGAGTAGCGAAAGACGGCGGGGGTTTGAAAACGATGTGCCAGGAGTTTGCTGTTCCGTCGGCTCAGATATTTGAAGTTTACGCAGCTACATTCTCGCTTGAAAATATGTTAAAAGTTTATTTTGCAACCCAGAAAGAGTAATAAGAGTAATATTAAAACTAAGTAGCTGCAGTAGTAGTAGCCATTGTTGGAAACTGGAATTGGATGGGCCAATCTGGGATATGGTTTTTCAATTTTGTTATCCGGGTGGAAAATCGGGAGAAATTCGAGAGAAATCCGGGAGAATGGTGGCTCCGGGAGATTTTCGGGAGGGGCATGGAAAAATCGGGAGGGTTGGCATGTATGCTCGTGGAGTCAGCCTCAAGTGGACATTTCAGGAACTGCAGAATTACAGTTTGTTTAATTTTTTTCAGCTCTGGCAGCTGCTGCTTAAGAAATACAGACAAAATGATGTAAATGTGTCTCATGCATAGCCATGCATTTCCCTGAGTAAATTCGGCAAATTCTAGGAAGAAATTATTAAACGTCAGATACAAAGTTTTCTTTATTTCTGGTAAATGTACTTTTCTGCTATACGATGGAAATATCAAAACACAAAAACCAGGAACCAAATATACTGGTAGTTCCCAAAAAGTTAAACCCTTTGCTTCTTTCATAGTAGGGGAAATACATTTCTGATCCCCTCCTGAATTCACAAGTTTGCTCACTTACTAAGAAATTGAACAGTCTCTCATTTTTTTGGATGTCAATGGAGAGCAACAGAATATCAACCAAAAATCTAGAAAAAAACAAAACAAAACACAGTACTGGGAAAAACATTGCTCCTCTTCTACCCTGAAATCTATAGCATTTCTCTTCAAACCACACAGTTTGAAGAGAAATGCTGTGTGTGTGTGTGTGTGTGTGTGTGTGTGTGTGTGTGTGTGTGTGTGTACGTACGTACTTCTATCCATGGGTCTGGCTTTGGCTTCGTGCCCTAACTGCCATGTAATAAATAAAGAACCAGTGTCTCATTTTACTTCCCTAATGTCAAATGTATTCAAATTTAGAGGTTAATGAATCCTTCGCAGCTACTTACCGTCTTTCAACAGACCATGCAAATAACAATTTAAGAGAAAGTCACATCAGATACTTGAGTGAGCACCAAACTGTAGTTGTATGTTAATTAATTGCTGTTAGTAGTCTGGGATGCACTGGATTCATCCATAAAGACATCTTTGATAACACAATTTATAATAACACAAATTGTTAAAACATGTAAATAAATACTTTTCTGGGTTTTTTGCTTATTTATTTAAACGATGTCTCCGTTTGACATAAACCAGCAGAGCTTACAGAGTCATCTCAGATATGGAAATGTCCTTTTCAGTTAGATTCTTTAAACAAAGTTATCTCAGATAACTCAAAAAGTTCCCCTGAAATGTTTTGCAAATTCCCCTATTACTTTGTTGTTTTGCTCTCTTCCCTTCCGCACGACGGCCCGGCCCCCGACAGATCAAGTACTAACCGTTAACTGTCCTCAAGGCGAGAGCACCTTATCAGCATAAATGAGCGCGATACACGTTCAACAGTGGTTTCCCTCCTCTGGGTTCACACGCGGCCTTTCACTGAACTTGGACTCTCACTCACTCACACACACACACGCACACACACACACACGCACACACACACACACACACACACAAGTAAGCATTTTTCCCGCCCACTCTGTCGTTCCCTCTCTAACTAGTCCTGGCATGGCTTACTTCATATCAGCAGACAGTCATTGTCCTCGCGGGCCACAATGTAAATCAGCCTGAGCGGCGTCGGAGTGGTTAGCAACTGCTCTGTTGTACAAATGTGCTGACCAACTGTGCTGAGCAACAGTTCTCTCTGCTCTTTAACAAGCCCGTACATGCCTGAATGTGCAAGCGCGACATGAGGACAACCGTTCTGTGGCAACTTAACATAAAAGATTCAGCGATAATTTAATGCATTCATACTTCAAATTTGCAGCTTTTAGTAAAGCAGGACAAATACATTTAACACAATGTTTGCCCTGCACATGGCAGCCTATAATCACACAATATCCTTTTGAAGAGGAAGTTAAAACTCCTTTCAAACTTCACTGTACATGTTTAAGCTTGTGATCTTAGCGCAATCTGTAAGAGTAGCTTTGCGTTATTCAAAATTACTACTACTACTTATACTACTAATGAATCTTATACGTGGCCTTCTGTCTGAAACAACCCATTTAAGCGCTCTTCCATCTCTCCTCAAGCCAGCTTTGTA